AGGATATAAAACCGGATATTAGATTTTATTAAAGGTTATAACCTTTCGGGTAAAAGGTTAACCGGGTACGACCACTAAATGCAGGAACACGGAAATTATGTGATTTAGCGTGATTAAACAAAATCACACTAAATCACATAATTTTGCTTCACTTATATACGTTAGTATCATGTGCACTCGTAATATTTTAAAATGTATAATAGATTATGATATTCTAGTAGTATATTAATTTATATGGTATACTAAAACACCATAAATCAATTCGTCTTCAAAATTAGAAAGAGAATTTTGCTATTTTTAATAGTTCAAAAGAACAACGAGTACTTGATTTAAAAATAACAATTAAGATAATATCGTTAATTATAAATCAATTTATTTTTAGGTTAATTACTCTGATACGCTTACAAATTTTTATTAAAATAGTGGTTTTTAACAATAAATAAATCAGAAACAGATAAATCTTTGTTTAGTTGAACGGAATATTTAACTAAAAAGTGCTTTTCAACAATAAATAATTAGAAACAGATAAATTTTTGTTTAGTTTTTAACAATAAATAATTAGAGACAAATAAAATTGCAAGATTTTTTTTTTTTTCTTACGAGATAAAAATGCTTAGTAATAAACATTATTAAATCACACTTTTAATTTTTAATCCAGTAAATCGAATATTTGATTATTTTTCAGAGGCTTTACCCGATATGTCATATAATTGAAAGCCCGATGCGTCGTTGGGCATTTTCTCTTGGCGGCACGGATATGACAATGATTGTTATCGTTACGTATAGCAATCCATTTCATACAAAAGGAAATGTGGAGGATCATGATTATTTAAAGAAATCAAACTATACCAAAAAAGCAAAGATCAGGGATCTATCGACAAATTTTATATGCGGCTAACAAGAATGTAGATCATTGTGTCATTCGATTGCTACATCCAATCAGAATCAAGATTTTGTGGACGAACGCGGTAAATCAAACCATAAGTTTTAATAATTTCGGAATTTTCGAAAATTAACTTTTTTAATTTAATGATAAATTTGGAATATTGTAACCTTTTTTAATGCAACTAAAGATATACTTTTTGAGCGAAAAATACAATTTTTTTATGCCATATTTTTTTTTTAATCAATAGCTTTATTATGCTCTTTTCAACAATAACCTCAGTTTTACAAATTTTAACAATTGCTTTGCGTTCGTCGAATTTAGTTAAAGAATTTACTACTTGTAAAATGGAATAAATTTCTCTATTACATTAAATTACACAAAGTTCTTTAAAAAAAAATTAAAATTAGTAATTCTTATTACAGTCGGACCTCCCTAAATGCAACCTCCCTAAATGCATAGACTCTCTAAATGCATGGCTTTGTCTTGGCCCTAATACATATGATACTTATAGATTTTTACCTCCTAAATGCAAAACCTCTCTAAATGCAAGATTTTTTATCGGCCCTAGGCTATGCACTTAGAGAGGTCGACTGTAGTTTGAAAGAAAATTACCGAAAGTTGTTATTATCCACGGTAATTTCAGATTTTCATAAAAAATTTTTCATATGCGACCCTAAATAATGTTTGATTTTATTAGTTTGAACACCCTAACGTTCCTGGCATACTCTCCGTTTTTACTTACGGAAAACTCCGTTCCTGGTATAGAATGCTTACCCATTTTATGTTTCATAAAACACACGTAGAATTTCATAGATCACTCAACAATAATCATAACTTAAGCACTAGACGCTTACAACCATATGGAAACCAAACTTTAACGTAATAGTTTTTCGGGTAAGTATAAGACGATAAATCTGTGAAAATATTGCTATTTTTCTAAATGATCTTTAATAAAAAACAAAAGACTTAATTATATCATCAATAAAATAGATAGAAGAGAAGCACTATACTCCAATCGCAAAATATAGGGTGCGGTCATCGAATCAATATCAGTAACAGTGAAAGAAAGATGTTTTCGAAAAATAATGAGTTAATGGTCTATAAAATAAAGCAAAACTAAAATGAATTAATAGTCAAAGTATAAGTATACTTTAAAAAGACAATTAAACGTTTTACCATCACTTGTAAACGCGAGGGTATTAACCTTCTGAAGATATCAGTGAATGATGATTTTATGAGATTTTGAATTTGTGATTCCTTAAGACAATACCTATATTTTTAATAGTTAAATTTTCAAAAACAAAACTTGGTAATTACTTCCCAGAACTATAATACAATTTCAGCATACAAATGAATAATTTTCCCATATTCATCCCCGATCGATATATAATGCTTTGATGGATGAATCGCGATGCTTGTTATATTTGATGGATGCATATATCTTTAAGAACAAAAGAGGTATATAAATAATCAATTGTAAATAAAAAAAATTGTCACAAACATATGTAATTTAGATGTTTACTTGGACCATTTTTGCGAATTGTTCGTCAATCAAAAATTTGCCATCAGATCTTGTATCTAATCCAGTGTACATAAACTTTGATTTATGTAAAAGATATATTTCAAACGGATCTTTTGTGTCAAGTCGAAAATAAAGTAAGGCTTGCGTCCTTTGTTTTCCACGACAACTAACTGTATACAATATGGAAACAAGAATGAATGAAAATATTGTCGTTTTCTAAATTTGC